GAAGTTGATATGGTTGCGCATTCAGAAGATCGGTTTATTTTTTGTGCATTTCCATGGTAATTATTACCAGGTATCTATTTAGAATCTGAAAAATGACAACATACAAAGATACAGCAGAGACTGTTTGTCTACCGTGTGCATGTTTTCAAGATGGTTGCTCCGTATTTTATGCTTCCTACACTTGGGGAATGTGTTGATGGCTGTCAGGTGAGGCTGCCCTCCAGGAGCTGCGCACATGCCTGTACATCAGCCATGAACTTTACTGTGTGGCTGACAGACAAACACGAAAATATGATACTGATACGTGAGAATACCAATACAACCGTCCAAACGGCAGTCTTAAGAATGTAAATATGATTTCAGACACACTATTAAAGACTCACAAAGATGCTTCCACTTTTGAAAGTAGCCTAGTGGTCAACTGGGTGTTTTGGTTCTGATATCTTGAGATTAGGATGATTGTTAGCTGATATACATAGAATACAGTTTAATAATAGAAAATAAACCTGACACAAAATCACTGAAATTAACTCTTTCCCCGCCATTGACGGAACTTTTCATCATTTATGAGACAACGCTTCCCTGCCATTTATGGAATTTTCCGCGATTTAATGTTATATGTTGGGAGGTGCTATTGCACATTTTTGAAAGAGTACTAAATCTCTGGATCAAACACAGGCAAAGAAGAAGCAGAAACAAGCGATCGTATAAGTTAGCAGATGCATATGCAAAAATAACACAATCATCAAACAATAAACAGCTTATAAATCAAAACTGCCTAATGTTACCGAATTAAATGACGACCCAGAAAGTGGACTGTGGAAGCTTCGAGGGTGTTGTTGGACTCAATCAATTCTACCTATGTTTTGATCAACGATCTGAATCTGATCCGGACATAGTCTTTGACAAAACGCGATTTTCTCAGCTTTTTGTTGAAAATGTTGCTTTTTTAATGAAACTTTCAACATTCAAGTGTTGATAAAATAAAAAAAAATAAAAAAAAAGAATGCATGAAGCTAGAATAAAACTAGAGGCTCTGTTCTTTTGAAAGTGACAATGATGTGACAAGTATGGTAATGCATACTCAAAATTTGTGCTCTGCCTTTCACCCATCCAAGTGCACACACACAGTAGTGAGTAGTGAACACACACATACCATTTGCTGCAGCGCCCGGGGAGCAATTGCTCAAGAGAGTGCTGTACAGTACATTCACTCCCCCCACCTACGACTCCTGCCGTTACTGAGACTCGAACCCGTGACCTTCGGGTTACAAGTCCGACTCTATCCATTAGGCCACGACTGCCCCTTGACATATTGCATGTTCAGATATTGATACAACAAAATATTCTGTGGGCCATGAAAACTTTGTGAAAATGATCAAAAATGCTGGTGGTGGCTGGCTAACAACGGTTTTTAAAAAACACTGGCAGGGAAAGAGTTAAATGTCCTTTTATACAGTATCTAATCAAAAAGCACAATGTGCATTACCTGCTCACAAGATTTTGGAACAGACTGTAAACCCTGTAAAATTTTAAAACCAGCCTTTTCTCTTTTATGCAACAAAGACTTGAAACACATAATATATTTAAAATATATATTTAAACATTATATGGTTATATTATTAACAAGTATATAAATAAATGTTCAGACATTCCTAAATCACGACTTTTACACTAAAATAATGGTTAACGAAACACAGGATTTTACTTTTAATGTGTCTTCATGTCTAGACCATGATGTTTGCATTTGCCCATCAATTTTTACTACTCCAGAGCTTGTTTACCTAATGAATTCATTTCTGTCCCTCAATACCAGAGTCATCGGTCTCTTTTAGATGCTGTTTGTGTGTTCTTGATCCTTGGAAATGCTTGAGATCACCAATTGAATGAGTTCGTCTCGGTTCCAAGTTTACTTGCAGGTTTAGTAAGATTTAGGTTTAAAAATGTGTGTGTTTGTGTGGAAGAGTCATTTGACATACACTGTGCGTATTGTTCAAAAGTCAGGGTGGGTTAAATATTAGCCTCTGGCCACAATGATTCTGCCCTTCCCTTTGAAATCACACAAAAAGAGCCGTACTATGAAGAAACACGAGAAATTATGGCCTGATTTGATATCATAATGTGTGTGAAGCCTCAATTGTGGGCTATATTTTACCATTTTTATCCGAGCAAACAATAGGTTTCACACCGAACACAAACAGTGATAAAGACTGATGTTCCACAGAGAAGCCATCGAGGCAACTTAAGTCCGACTCAAATCCAGTTCGAACCAAGTGTAAAAACCATGTGCAAGACCCGGATGTCTGTTATTGATGGGGAAAGTGGTCTGCGATGAGGTCTTGTGTTTGCATTCCAACATTTTTGCATCACGTAATGCACGCAGGCCTCGTACAATGAGATACCTGTGGGAAACATGGAGCAGAACCATCAGAGACAGAGTAAACAGTGAGGCGCGTGTTTGCGTAAGACCATGGGGAAGTACGCACACACATTTGCACCTGTTCAGTTGGTATTGCTCATGTCAAACAGTAGGCAGAGGGAATTGTGGGAAAGGGAGCGATAACAGGGCATAGTCTCCATAGAAGTGAGGCTTTATTTCAGGCATAACCACGAGACAAAGTTTTTCCGCTCGCTTTTGCCCGCTCGCAGGAATTCCTGCATGTCCTCTGGCTGTCAATCTGATTGACTGTCCTCCCACTGGACTTTTGTGAACTGTCTCATGGAAACCATTTATTTATAGTCTGTCTGTCTGTCTCTCTCTTTTTATCTCGTATTGCTGAATGTAAGTTATTGGTTCACTTTGGCTTTAATTAGTGATTCAAATCTTGTTCCAAAATGCATCCATTAAATTGCACATTATTTTTACATTTTCTTAAGTGGCAGGTTGAATTCATATCTGTTTGGTCTGTTTTACTGTACTGTTGGATGTCAGTTGGATGTCAACAGTCATATGGGAGGAATGATCCTTACTTCCCTGATGTCATCTGTGTGTGTGTGTGTGTTATGTTTATCTGTGTGTTTACGTTGACAGGAAAAGGTTTACAAGAGAGATTTATGAGTGTGATATCGGTGTCTGACATGTCTGTCTACTCTTTTGATACCCATTTTACCTGTTTATAAAAGTCCACAAAAATGCTATAGTATCTACTGTAATGTAATACACTATTTGTGGTTTCACATGTTTCTTGACAAAATATAAAAAGGCATAGTACACAGCAAATACACTATGGCATCTACCTGCAGATGCTAACTTCATGTTCTAGTCGGGAATTTTGTTACAGATGTCACACGCTGACACACACACACACACACACACACACACACACACACACACACAAGGACAATGACTTGAAGAATACGTAAGTTATCAGTAAGTCATTATCTGTATGTGATATGAAGTGTCTCCAACCCTCTGGATGGCAGGTTTTGGGAAATAGTTACTCAGTTTTGTTTATTTACTTGTGCTGGATGCTTTTAGAGGCCAGTTATGAAATTAGATTTTTTGTTGTATCAGGTTTTTAAATTATAATTTATATTCAAAACACTACTAACTGACTCATACTATTGTATCATTACAGTTTCATTTTGTTTGTAAAAAAAAAAAGTCAGTTTATGTAATGAGTTTAGAGTAGAAGTGTATGGCAAGACATTGCACCAGAATAATTTTCGAAATTATAGCCATGAGTTAAACACTAAACATGTTAACATGAGATGCTGTTAAAATTGTGAAAATAGTGTGATTAAAACTGATTAAAAAATTATAAATAAGTTTATGGGGCAAGACATTGCAACACAGCTTTTTTCGGAACTGTACCTATAAGACGTAAAACATGCTAACATACAGTAGCTGTGTATATTCATAGCATCACTGTTGAGGAGAAATTAGCTGGTGAAGTGGAATTACTTATTGTAGAGTTAAGGAAATTTATCATGAGCATTGTAATGTTCGAAGTGGATGTCATGACAAATGTCAGTAAACCGGGAAGATTTTAAAACGAGCGGTTCATTCATAAATCAGATCTTACCTTCATGCTGTGGAAATATAATCCGGAAGACAGAAAAGGGATGGAGCTACAGAAAATTGGGATGGTTGCTAATAGAATAATTGACAACTTAATGTCTTAAATAAAACCCTTTTGTATAGAAGAATTAATTAAAGGGGTCATATGATGCTGCTAAAAGAACATTATTTTGTGTATTTGGTGTAATGAAATGTGTTTATGCGGTTTAAAGTTCAAAAAAACACATCATTTTCCACATACTGTACATTATGGTGGACATTTGGGCGGCTTTATGCAAATCTTCCCACATCGTGATGTAGGTATGTGGGGGCGTGTTAGAACGAGCCGTTTTAGGTAGGCGTGGTTAACTCTTAACTTTTATAAAGAATATCTCTTTGGTTTTGAGACTTTAGTGTTTGCAACTTTACAGATCTTCTTTATGCACCAAGAGCTTGTAACACTCCAAAGAGAAAGGAAAAATTTAAATCGCATCATATGACCCCTTTAACAAAAAATATAATCTGCATGTTTCTGCTTGTAATTAATTCAGAATGTCTTGCCCATAGACCTCCATTATATGTGTATTACAGTAAATGCAAATTTTGCTTGCTTTTACAAACAAATCGAAATTGATGTCTGGTAATCCACAGGATGTCACAGATGCTGTCGATAGAGCTGAATTTGTATTGAACCCAAAGCATTGATTGAAAGCAGTGGAACACTTTGCTGTTCATTGCTCATATTTTGTGTTGGCAATAAATCTGGCAGATTTTTTTACAAGATTGTTTTGAATCACAACTGTCTTCTTCTAATCTATGTGCTGACCGCTCGTGTGATTCAGGTATAGTGTGGACTTGTGTCATACAGTCTCTCTCACACCACGCACGGAGTATCGTAAACACTGACCTTTAGTTCTTCTAGTTTGGAGACGAGTGGGCGGGGCGTAGTGGGTATCCTGCGTTCTGATTGGTCGATCGGATTTGTGCGCTCAGAGAAGGGGCGGATTAGTGGGTCACATGACCGCTTCAATTTCTCTCACTGCTGAAGCAGATCCTCGCATACACACTCCCACGTCCAAACACACACCCGAAAATCCCCCTCTTACGAGGAGTGTCGCTGGGTGAGAGTCGCTTTTTGCGTTTTATGAGTGGGACTGCGGACTGTTTGTGGAGTTTGGGGGCTGTTTTTGTTGCGTTTAATCCTTTGAGGTAATCTGGGACTCTTGAGGCGGGAATGAGAGAGATGCGCTCCAGCGTTTACTGGACTTTCACTCTGTGAGGAGCAAACAGGTGAGTTTAACAGCGTAAAATTCAGAAAAAAAAACTTTTGGGTTAAATTTTAGTGACGAACGGTCGTTTAAAGGCAACTTTAATTGTTAAGTGGACCACAGAGATCGTTGCGTGCAATCACAACAGCGCTAAAAGCTCCAAAAGAGGGAGTTATTCCTCAACCGTCCCTTTTTTTTTTTTTTAATCTTAAACGCATCTCATGTCGGTTTATAACGTATTGATGCTTTTTTTTTCGCTTACCTTGTAGTTATTTCCTGCTGATAGTCCGCTATTCTTAGCGCCGCGACTGAAATCTGAGTCTGAAAATTTCTCGCTCCCTATTTATAGAGCTGCTAAAGATAAGAAGAGAAATAGTAGTGCATACTAACGCTGATGAAGGGCTGTGGGGGGCGCGCACTGTACAGTGTACTCAAAGGGACTTTAGGATGAATAACTGCCGTGGCATCCGTTAAACATGTTTGTTTTTGAATCCGTCAGTCAGTGTGTTGAAAGTGCATAGTTCAGTCGAGACGCTGTGATTGGTGAGTAGTGATTGTAATCGGTCATTTGAAGGTGATTTGCTCTCTGGGAATCCTGTTACATTGCATCTAAAGTGTGAGAGAGAAAGCAGCTACACAGTGAGCCGTTGACTGTAGGACACGCTGTGAATCTTGTGACACCACACCAGTCCCTGTTGTGTATTTTATTGTCTTGTGTGGCTATTGTATTACTAGTGTCCTTTCTGTTATTGCAGCACTGCTTTCTCTCCTGTCTAACGTTATGCAAGAGAAATCCTGCACAGCAGTTCATTATTGCCTGTATTCAGAGACCGAACAGCTGTTGTAGTGAGGATTGAGGATCCTCCCTGTTTCTTTCCTCACATTTCCCACACTTCCCCCCCTCATACACCCACCCTGACAGTTTGAAACAGTCAACAACACGTCCCAGATCAACACACTGCTTTACATAATGCAGTCAGTTAGCTGAGATTGACAGTCAGTGTTATATCATTTCATGTATGGGACATCTGCCGCCTGTCCCAGGAGAGTCATATTCAGATTCATATTTGGCAGATTATAATTCCATTATGCAGGTTATTTTCAACAGATGGTGGGATGTTTTAAATGGTTAGTTGACGCAAAAATTAAGTAGCATAAAAGTGGTCTATACAACTGCATTACTGCTCAAAAGTTTGTGGTCGGTAAGATTTTTTTTGAAAGAAGTCCCATATGCTCACCAAGGTTGCTTTTATTTGCTCAATAAAATGCGGTAAAATATAATATTATTGCAAATTAAGAAAACAGTTTTCCATTTGAATATATTTTAAAATGCAATTTATTCCTGTGACGTAAAGCTGAATTTTCAGCATCATTACTCCAGTCTTCAGTGTCACATGATCCTTCAGAAATCATTCAAATGTGCTGATTTGCTGCTCAAGAAACATTTCTTATTATTAATGTTGAAAACAGTTGTGCTGCTTAATATTTTTATGGAAACCATGATACATTTTTTTCAGTATTCTTGTATTTACAGCATTTAATTGAAATAGAAATACATTGTAAATGTCTTTTCTGTCACTTTTGATCAACTTAACACATCCTTGCTGAATAAAGATATTAGTATTATTTATTTCTTTTTTATTTAGTTTCCTGACCACAAACATTTGAATGGTAGTGTATTTTTAGAAGTTATATGGACTACAACTACATTCAGTTTATATGGACTACTTTAAATGTGTTTTTCCTCTTTCACTTTCATTTTATGGGAAATCATCATAAAGCATCATAAACATTTAATTTTATGTTTTGTAGAAGAAAGGTGGCCATAATGGCTTTGAAACAAAATAAGGCTGACTAAACTGTATTTTTGGATCTTAAAAGGACAGATACTGCGGTGGTAATGTCCACCCGCCTGTTGTTGTTGTCGTTGTTTAGAGCTGTTAGAGTCTTTCAGGCTTGGCAGCCTGTGTGTTGTGTTTCTGTTTCTGGGTGGGTGTGTCAGAGTTGTCGTCATTCATCAGCACATGACAGTTTTCACTAGACGTGCTCGCTAAGTTTGAATATTGCATCATACGCTGAACATGTGAGCTTTGTGTGTACGCGTGCAGTTTGTTGTCTTGACTACAATAAACGTAAGCGGCATCCCCTTAAGGTCCCCCTTTTTCGATTTATTTGATCTGTTTTAGCATTTGTGTTTGTTTATGTTTGTGTTTATTTGGCTTTTTCACCAAGAATGCAAATCTTATTCAGATTAATAGTCTTTTTGCTTTCTGTTTTAATTCTTGCACGTGTGTTCACATGCCTAAAAATGTGTGGTGTAGTATTTCTTGTTGGCTTGGGCTCTTTTATTGAGCCCACCCTCAGTATGTATGTGTGTGTGTGTGTTTTCTGGCAGAGTTGTGTGTCTCTAATCTGAACCATCTTTCCAAGTGCCATTTGACCTGAATGAGCAGCTTAGCAACGTACAGCAGAGAAAAGAATCCCCCCCCCCACCCCTCCAGAGTGAATCGCAGAAGAGAGCGAGTGTGAAAACCTAGAGAGGTACAGGTGAAAGCTTTTACTGAGGCCCGGGAAATGCCTGACACTGTCTGGCACAACAGTAGAAGTGATTTGAAAACAGTCCCAGCTGAATGTCTGGAGTTTGCTAAGCATCACTGTTAAGATTACTCATATCTAGGATGAGGGATTTAAAGGGGTCATATGATGCTGCTAAAAAGAACATTATTTAATCTTTATAAGTTAGTAGTACTGTTCGGGTTTACAGTGTGGGGGCGTGTTAGAACGAGCCGTTTTAGGTAGGCGTGGCTGACTCTTAACTTTTATAAAGAATATCTCTTTGGATTTGAGACTTTAGTCTTTGCAACTTTACAGATCTTCTTTATGCACCAAGAGCTTGTAACACTTCAAAGAGAAAGGAAAACTTGAAATCGCATCATATGATCCCTTTAAAGAAACCCCTGACGGCATTTTCACCTCATGAATGAATGGTTCTTCAAATCATGCTGTCTGTTCAGAAGAGGTGTGCTATTACTTTGATCAAACTTACTTTTTTTACCTGTTGAATAATAGGGGTGTAACGATATACCAATGCCCCGGTTCGGTTCATATCACTGTTTTGGAGACTCGGTTCAGTTTGGTTTGGTTCTGTTTGCTGTGGGGGTAGGGTTCATGGCATGGCACCAGCAATGCTAAAGAACAATAGATTCACTTTTAACTTAATAATAGTAACAATAATTGCTCTCTGTTAGTTCATGTTAATTAATGCATTATCAAATGATACTTTAAAAATTGTTGCTTTGTAAAGTGTTGCCAAAAATTTATTGCTTTAAAAAAAATAATAATAAAAATAAAATAATGCCTGAATAATGCAAACAAGTCATTGGACAACATTACTTAGGCTACATATAAAAATGCATGTGCCATGGATAAAAAAATGGAATAGCTGGACAATTATGAAATTATTTTAATCAAATATGTACTAACTCAATCTGACACATTCAAGAGTCGCAAGCTTTTTGAGAGGCGGCTGTGCGCGCTTTGAAGTGCATTGAAGCTCTCTTATGGCGCTTTTCCACTGCGTGGTACGACTCGGCTCGGTACGGCTCAGTACGGCACGGCATGGTTCGACTCGGCACGGTTTGCGTTTCCACTGTAGTTCAGTACCGCTTTAGAGTGGGCGGGATTATTCACATGTCGTTATAGTTGCGCCGCCTCTACTACCACGACTCCTAAAAAAAACTTTTTCATTCCGCGTCGCCCCATCAAGCTCTCTGGATCCGCTCCTCTGCTATCAACGAGAGGAACGTCTGTTCTTCCGCTACAGACAACAAAACTTTTTGGTTGTTAAAACAATTGGAACCTCAACCGAGGAGGTACTAAAAAAAGTACCAGGTACCAGGTACTGTACGCAGTGGAAAACAACCCCAAAATTGAACCGTACCGAGCCGTACCATGCAGTGGAAAAGCGCCATTAGAGAGTGTGCGAGTACTTAAAGTAGGTTAAAATAGCTTGAATGTTTAATTTGGCATGACTTAAAATGACGTGCAAGTGACAGTTCCATCAACTGTCCGAAACACGTGCTAGTCTTGCGTGCAGCTCGCTTGCAGAGCAAACTCAGCGTGATATTATGGGTGTGAGGCTATTTGTGCATTTTGAGAGAGTGGGAGAAGACGCAGTACTGCTCAATCCCAATCACTCACTCTTTGTGAAATTCCATCTCACAGAAAGTTTTAAAACGACTGATCTGCTCTGATAATCTGTTTGGACTCAACCTACATGCTATTGCATAAATGTTTGCGGGAATTTCCCGCTTTATAATCGCAAAACCTGCGTGAATGTGTAGAATTAAGCACAATGTCTGCAATCCCGCAGCGAAACATGGCAACTAAACTCTAAAAATTCACAGCATTTTATTATAATAGTGTTCTCATTATAATGTTATGTATATGACAGTCCCAGTAGTTATTAATATTCTGCATTATTGTTTGTGTTGAAGAGATAATCACCAAAGTGAAGCGGAAAAATCCACATGCCTGGGACAATAGTGTGTGTGTGTGTGTGAGAGAGAGAGAACAAAAATCAGGCTTAACTAAACCTGATAGTGTTATAGGATAGTGCTGCCCTCCTGTTGGTTGACCTGACGCCACCCTTCACTGTTGGCAGGACAGCCACTCTTTTCTTCTTTTTTTTTTTTTTGAAGGTGAACAAAGAACGAAGTCCATTGTGAATAGCGCTACTCTGAGCAAGAGAGTTCAGCTAATGTGCAGTTGCTGGATTTTTGATTGTATTGATCGGTGGACTTAGGTGCGTGTTTGTGTGGGATGATGAGTTTGTCCTTGGGGCATTACTGATCGAGACTGTTTTGCCTGTCAAATGAAGTGCACAGACTTCCTCTCTCAGGTTTTTTGATTCAGTCAGTGCAGTATGTATTGTTTGGTGTTTACTAGGGATGTGCAAAAATAAGTATTTAGAGATTTTTCATGGATAATGACATTTCCGCACAGAATATGCACATGCCCAAGCAAAATCTCTCTCTTTCTCTCCAGGTGAAGACCGCAGGAAAATACAGTAGAGATGAGTGGCGAGTCGAGACAGGGGGTGGTGACGACCCCTCCGCCCCCAAGCGTGGGGAAAAGGGAGGGCTACTTCGACCGCATCAATGAAAACGACCGTGAATACCTGCGTGCACGCAACATGTCACCCGACCTGCGACAAGACTTCAACATGATGGAGCAGAAGAAAAGGGTCACACAGATACTACAGAGTCCAGTAAGAAAACACAAACACGCACTGAAATGACTGGGCTTTTAAAAATTGCTTATAAATCTCTTATTATGCGGTTTCTCACCAAATCTTGGATTGAGTCTTTTTATCAACTTTCTTTCAATTACCACAGGTTTTGTATTTCTTTTTGGAACTGATTGATAATAGGCCTCATTGATTTGAGATTATGCACCTCAATTTTTGAGTAAAAAGCATTAATTGTGGATAAATTTGGAAATATTCACTCAAAAAATTAGGCCTATGATCAGTTAGTTCCAAAAAGAAATATAAAATGTTTTGAAAGAAACAAGTTGATAAAAAGGCTGAATCCAATATTTGGAAATAATATAGAAAAATGAGAAATTTAATAAGCAATTTTTTGTAGGCCGACCATTTTTGTCTGGGAACACACCACATGTGGAAAAACGTGTGGGGAAAAAAGGTTCCAAAAGGGGTTTTATCTGTGATACCATAAAATAACTGTTTTTGGTTTTCCAAAGAACCTTCAGAAAATAGTTCTTAGAACTGTTTTTCTTAGTGTGAAAACATTAAAAAATATATATTTAAAAACAAAAACAAACAAACGAGAAAAAAAAAACCTTCCACTATAAAGAACCTTTTGTGCATTGAAAAGGTTCCATGTAGGGCTGCACGATATTGGAAAAAACTCACATTACGATATTTTTTTTTCTGCAATATGAAAAAAAAATTTGATTTTGTAGGTGAGTAAATCAGCATAGGAAATAAACAAATTACAAGCATAGATAAATAACAGAACAAAGATACAAATTAAATAAGCAGTGCTTTATGTTTTTCAGGTAAGTCTAACAGTATTCAGGCACAGAAATTGAATAATCAAATGTAAAATAACACTGCATAGTTTTCACTATAAATTAAATCTAATAAATATGTGTTAAAGCTACAAAAGTGATTTTTCTTTGCGTTTTGTTGTTTAATTAACGTTCATGACAGAGAAAGCAACAGGAACATTAAACTGCTGTGAACCAATATACTGTTACACATCCAATTTGCTAGTTACATACAATTGTTTACCTTCACCTAAGCCATAAGCAACTGTGTTTACAAGGATACTTGCAGAGCACAGTATTTCAGGCACAAATACGCAGAAGTGAACAGAAATCAGTGTTCATGTGCATCTGCTTGGCTCTCACCGTGTCTACACCGGGTGCGACAAAATACTATGAACCCATTTTAATCAGTGATGCTGTGTGACTGACTACACTGGATGCGGCGCGACACGACTAATCCCCGACAGTAAACTGATGCCTCGTTTATGACATACTGACACAAAGTTCAAATGATATGCAACGGTCGCATCCGGTGTAGACAGACTTTGGGGCCGTTCACATGTCGCGGGTGGAAAACGGCAGCAGCACTGCTTTCTCCTTCTTTCCAAAGCGCTCGGGAGCTTGCGCTTTCGTGGAGTCTGCCGTTGCTAAGCGAACCGTGACCCGCGCTCTCCGCGACGACGCGGAAGTTTCCACAAAGGATAAACGGATTTCCAGCACAGAAAATCGCGTGCTGTAGCTCTGCTACTAAATGTATTTAGAAATGGGTATCTCTGTACAGCTGTTGCGTCCGGTGTAGACACAGTGTCTGTGTGTGAGCAAAGAAAACAATCAGTAGCCTATACTAAACATCGCACATCCTACGATGTGACTATCGCGGATGCGCACATCGCGATGTCGATGCTGAAACTATATATCGTGCAGCCCTAGTTCCATGGATGTTAAATGTCCTTCATAGAACCATCAATGCCAGTAAAAGAGACTTTATTCACTCTTAAAAATAAAGGTTCTTTATTGAAATCTATGGTTACATGAAGAACCTTAAACATCCATGGAACCTTTTCAATGCACAAAAAGTTCTTTATAGTGTAAAAAGTTTATTTAGTTTATGAAATGTTCTTCACACTAAGAAAATTTTTTTTTAAGAAATGATCACTGAAATATTCTTTAGGGAACCAAAAATCCCTTTCCCATCGCTGCAAAAAACGCCTTTTGGAACCTTTCTTTTTTAGCGTGTTTTTAAAAGATTTTGTAAAGTTATTGTACTGTACAGGGATGTTTTTCCACTTTTCCACTGATTTAATCAGTAAGAATGTGCTTTCAACGTAAAAGTGTTTACTTATAGATTTTATAGGTTGTCTCGAGCCATGTGGTTTTGAGTAAACTCCACATTGCCATGAAGTTTACATTCAAAGCTTGGCATGAACTTCTAAAGTTGGTTTTGAACCCAGCTGGTTGCACCTTACACTTCTTCTCTGTTCACAATGAAAGATTTATTGTTTATTCTTGTCAGATGAGTAGGTTTGTCAGTCAGTTAATTGTGTGTTTGGTGTGATGCTTTGAGTTACAGCTCAATCGTATGCACAGAAGACCACACCCTATTACACGCACAACACCGACTTCCACATCTTGTATATAAACACAATACAGCCAGTGAAGCACCTCTGACCTACAGTAGAGAGAGATTATAGCAACCACACACACACACACAAGATTACAGTTAACACACACTGGAGAGTTTACAGTGAACGTATTGCACAGATTACACTCCTGCAGACATTTCAGCAAAAACATACTGTGTTTAAAGGAACGTTCAGTTCAATACAAGTTAAGCTGTATGGATGGCATCTGTCACATGCTGTCGATTATCACAGCAAATAAATCCATCTCATCCCTCACTTTGCGAAAACAACTACTTTTATTCAGCAAGAACGCATTCAACTGGTTAGAAGTTACAAAGACTTTTGTAATATCTCAAAGATTATAATTTAAAATAAATTATTTTGATCTTTCTGTTCATCGAAGAATCCTGAAAAAGTATTATGGTTTAGAATATTAACATTAAGCGGTTTTCAACGGTTTTCGTCATTGATAATAATAATAAATGTTTCTTGTGCACCAACAGTTGCTGAAATTTCAGCTTTGCCATCATAAATGACATTTTAAAATATATTAAAATAGAAAAATGTATTTTAAATTGTAATTATATTTAACAGTACTACAGCTACTACTGTTTTAAAGCATTTTTTTATCGAATTAATGTAGCCTAGGAGACTTCTTTCAAAAACATAAAACAAAAAAAAATTCTTACCAACCCCAAACTTTTGAATTGTAGTGAATGCATTTTTAGACCTTGCAAAATCTCTGACATTAGTTTGATAATTCAACTTTCGAAATTGCAAGAATGATTTGCCATAGTGTTGGTATCATCAGTAAGAATGGGTTTAAAATCATAAACCAATCCTTGATTTTTGCCTTGTGTTTATGAACTTAATGCTGTTTTGGAGTTTAGATCTTTGAAGTTTCTTGTAGAATTATAATAACTGTAATATCCACCTGTTATTGCGCATTTGTGTTGTAAGGAAAAGCATCAAATGAAAAAAAATGTGTGCAAAATTATTTATTTTAATGAAATAAAATAGGAAAATCTGAGAAATCTGAACTACTTTAATTTGAAGAAAAAAAAAACCCTAGAGAAGCTTTTGAGCACTGAAGGGTTTGAGCACTGTACTTTCAGTATGTGAAAGTGAAATTTCTGTCACTGTAATCTCTGTGATTATGATAAAAACAGAGGCGGAGTGACAGTAAGGTTAATTACAGCAGCGCCGCTGGGCTTTATTAGCAGCAGCTGTCCGAGCATGTGTTTCTGAGACACACTATATACTCCTCTCACTCATCCTTCACTCTGTATGGAGAGGAGCCAAGCAGGGTAGGCAGCAGGTGTATCAGCACACAGGCCTGTGTGTTTACGTCTGCACTATCAGCTGATTCAACAAGCCTCTCTTTCATCTCCCTCTCTCTCTGTAGGCTTTCTGCGTGTGTGCGTGCATGTGGAAGAGTGCTGCTTAAATTACACGTCTGTCCGTGGACCGTGTTTAAGGTCAGACTATTATAGGCAGGGCGGAGTTTGCTATGCTTAGACCTCATCTGTGCTGTCACAACCAAAACAAATGAAGACATCTCCGCGTCAACGTAACCCGCTCAGGAACCTGCGGAAAAATAGCGGTTTGCCCTGAGAGACCACTGATATTTACTTAAACAACATGTTAATGATATTAAACTGTAATGGCACAATTGAGTTTGTCTTGAATTTCCTCTCTTGGGTTATTTTTAGTTCCCCCACTCCCCTCTGTTTCCCTCTTCAGCATTAAAGCACGCCATTCCCAGAGTCATAGCTGTTTTCCAAGAGCACTGTGGTTTGGGTTGGTTGGGACACTTACTTTTGAGAGGAATTTGTGCGTTTCCTACCCCGTCCCGGGCGTCCGGTTCTCATTCAAGCACAATTTAATACTCACAAAGATATCTCCATCTCACCTTTGTACTTTGGCTAGACCGTTTTGGCTCGGACTGCTTCGTTTGAAGTTTGGCCTGTGTGAGGTGAATGGGTTACTAAAGCAAATTCCATTTTATCGGACAGCAGATCAATACAGACTCTGGCCCACATACAATGTCACAAAGCTAAGATAACGACCACCGTCCCCCATGACGGATACGGTTTTATGGTTTGATATTAATGTAGTCACTATGTTTTGTGTTGTTATGAGGTTAGATTGTCACCGCTTTGATCTAGTGACAAGTGTGGGCATGTTAGCCCATGTTTTTGTGATGGTGTATCCCTATGCGAGCATGTTGGCTGCAGGTTTGTTCTGGAGGCATGTTTGATGATTCCCATGGTTAATCTTTCATCATGCCTCACTCCTAATGCAGTTCACCTCTAAAGCACTTTGCTGAAATATTTAAATATTCACATATTTAGTTCAATAATTTTAGTTCATTTAGTTCAAGACAAGCATCAGTTTTACTATTCCCCATACTTAAAGAGCGAAATTTGGGCGAAAAGGTTAACGAACAACTGTAAACATGCTGCACTTTTACATTTAAGATTCACAACCCCTTACTGTAACTTTTTGGGCTATTACATGTGCATTAATGTCATGAATTTATGGCTTCTTTCTTTCCTTTTGTTTTCTCAGTGTAGGTTTGATGAATGAGGCTCTCATTCAAAACCAAACAAACTTAAAGGCCAATTTAATTTGCTTCCTATGTACTTAGTTTCACCCTAGATTAGGTAATCAAGCCCCAGCAAACTTCACTGACACACACAGGCCACGTTCACACAGCAGCAGAATATGGTTGTCAGTCCTGGGGCCGGATTCACAAAAGATTCTTAAGAAGAAATTTCCTCTTAACTGCCATTTTCTTCTTATTTTTTAACTTAAGAAAAAAGTAAAAAATATTTTGTATTCCCAAAAATTCTTCTTAAGAATATTCTTATCTTTTTTCTTAAAGGGGTCATATAACGTTGCTAAAAAGAACATTATGTTGTGTATTTGGTGTAATGCAATGTGTTTATGCGGTTATTTTCCACATAATGTACATTATTGTTGCTCCTCTATGCCCCGCCTTTCTGAAATGAGTCGATTTTTACAAAGCTCATCGTTCTGAAAAGCGAGATGTACGCTGATTGGCCAGCTATCTAGTGCATTGTGATTGGCCGAATACCTCAAGCGTGTGACGGAAATGTTACGCCCCTTACCATACTGTGATGTTGTGTCCCGGCTCGATGAGACAACACCAATAAAACCTATTACAAACCCAGACTGTCCTTGCAAAGTTGGAACTGCCCCATTTTATAGAAACAACCTTTGTGCCACAGACGCATTATAGGCTACTCTGCAGGTGCAGGAAACAGGCATGACGAAGCGGATATCGTCCTCTTTTGGAAGGCCAAACAAAGTAGTTTCATTTTTTTACAACGAAACACAACGTCTCCACGACATGGTGGCGGAAAAACCAATGCTACAGCGAGATTCAAAGTTACGCCTTCTTTCTTTGCGTGAACATTTGGGCGGCGTTATGCAAATCTTCCCACATAGTGACATAGATATGTGGGGGTGTGTTTAAACGAGGCGTTTTAGGAGGGCGTGGACAAGTCTTAACTTTTATAAAGAATATCTCTTTGGGCTTGAGACTTTAGTTTTGGCAACTTTAGGGATCTTATCTATGCACGAACAGCTTGTAACACTCCAAAGAGAAAGGAAAATTTGAAATTGCATCATATGACCCCTTTAAGATTGTTCTTAAGACAAAACTTAAGAAGAATTTAAATTCTTGAAAAGAATCTTCTTAAAAATCATCGTAAATAACTTTTTTAAATTTAGTACAGTCCCAGACTTGTCTTAAATCCCAAACAGTAAGAATTATTTAATGAATTTATTGGGTTATTTCAAATTAATTGTTATATTTAAGCATTACAACAACACTAGCAACATATAATACATAGTAGGACTATTAATAGGAATGTGCACAAGTTTTCAATACACAGGACGCATTTGCTGTAAGATGTTCTTAAGAATATATTTTAGAACTTAAGAATTTTTCAAGAATTGCACTTCAGAACATTCTTACGAACTTTGTGGAATTTATCTTAAGAAATTTCTTAACCTATTTCTTAAGAAGATTTTCTTGAATCGAAAATTTTGAGTCCTTAATACGGTTACATTCACACACAGTTCGGTTATTTACGGGCGTGACGACCGCATTCTGTAACCGAACTCACACCTGTAAATTTTCAGGATTCACAACCGCATTCTCTGAACACATTAGCTGTGTGAATGGAACAGGACTGGACACCTAGTTGTCTGTCCCATCATACAGTGCGAGAGAGAGCCGCTCTGCCACATAAACGCAGACTGTTACGTGTTTTCGGTAACTTATAGTGATGGAGAAATGAGCTGCGTGTCATCTGAACATTTTAGATCTTCAGTTTTCCACTGGAGCCGCTCCCGTCAGTTTTGTGTTCTGCGCGCGATTCAAATGCTCTGCTCTCCACCCAAACATAAAAGCTGCTGTCGGTTAATGAAAATTTGACGAAAAAACTTGTGGCTCGATTGGACTCTTGTCATGTCAGAAAGTGATAAGACTTTCCGTTTTATGGATGTCGCCATCTTTGATTTTACTTTGGTCACTGTCGCTATGGTTACTAGTAAGGAATACGGGCTTGACTCCCATTGCACGTTCATACAGACAGTATTCTAAACACAACTGTAAGCTGCTGTGTGAACGGGACATTTCGAGACTCACACCTGTAAAGAAAATGCAGTTGTCAATCCCAAAAGCTGACATTGTGAACGTAGCCACAAAGTCGTTGAGAGTTTGGCAGAGATGGCCCGCACATGGATACACAAATGCCATGCCCACTTCCCTGTGGCTGCATGGTGATTCTTGCTATGGAAATCAGACTTTCTTTAGCTCAATCTCTCCAGACCTGTGGTGCGTACCAGGATGCCACTGAGGTGGGAAGTTAAAGTGCTTTATCGGGCCATACAGATCAGTCAAAAACACATCCCAGAATGGAAGGAGAATCTGTAGATTTGAGAAGGAATCTACAATTCGGATTGCTGTTTTCCTGTAGTCTTGCATAGCCAGATTTGGTCAACTTGCATGAAATTCTGGCCAAGAATGACCCAATTAGATATAGGAAGAATTATCTACAATATTTGTTTGCCGAAATAATAGGCCAGCATGGGGGAAAAAAATATCTACGGTAAACAGAAGAAATTGGCAGAAATCTGACTGTTCATTTATTTATTTATTTATTTTACACTCAAAGCAGAACATTTCTGTTTGTAAATAACTAGTTAACTTTTACTAAGTGCCTCAAAGTATCTCTCAGAGATTTGATGTCAATAACCTGGCAAACTTTGGCAAACCTAGTGATTCACTGATGCTTATTACAATCAACAAACAACTTCAAAAAGCCATTATTTATCCCAGTACCTGCAGTTTGCATAAAGCCAATCAGTCCATTTAAATCTGCAGATTTTAGCTACTGCTTGACATTTTGTGCAAAATACATCAGGACATCAGTGAATAGAGTGTGCCTGCTGAGACTAGCTTACCTCCCTTATTCTGGTATGTGCATATATATGTTTGCATACTGTTTGCGTGTTTGTATCATCAGTGCCGAGTGAAGTTGTACATGCCCCAGTTCACATCCAGACACTTACTCACACCTGTCTGTATGTCTGTATGCAACTGTACAGTAAGAACGAACAGTCATCGTAACTGAGGTATTGTGTCATTTTGACTCTCCTCTGTCATTACCCCCGCAGCACAAGAGCGTCAGAGTCTGTTTATCCTGTGATTCATTCTGTCATCTGAGCTCTTTGATCACCCTGTGCCTGAGACTCCGAACAGGTGTGCAGAATGACAATGCATCGTACAGAAGAGCTTCATACTACTTTTAAAACCACTTATGGGTGATTTCCTTCCCTAAACATTGAAAATAAACTTTTCTGCAAAGTTCCAGTGGGCTAAAATGGATTTTGGACATACCCAAAAAATTTAAGATGGTGCTTTCATCCTTCACTGCTTGTTTTTGTCTGTAGAGAGTATCCTTCAGCTCTTCAGAGTAAGTGGAGTAGACCTATGGGTTAATAGACTTAAAAAGTTGTCAAGATACAAGTGGAAAAAAGGTTTAAACATGCAGGGGCGTGAGAGGATTACAGCTCTGTGTCCGTCTCTCATTACTGTGTGTGAGTCATCTCTAATCTCAGGTTTTCTTTCTCTTTCAGGCTTTTAAGGATGAGCTAGAGGGACTGATCCAGGAACAGATGAACAAGGGGAACAACCCCACAGGACTGCTCGCTCTGCGGCAGATCGCAGACTTCTTCATGGCCAGCTCCGTAGCCGGCTTCTCCACCTCCCCCCTCAGTGAGTGTCACCATGGTGCAGCTCATCTACACTGCAACAGATTGCAACATTCCTCCACTCCTTCAGTGTCCCAGACTGCCCCACTCCTCTACCTGTTCAGAGTTATACAAGTCGCTAAATAATAGATATTCCCATAAACAGACATTGAGGGAGGAAATATGACCAGCCGACTCAGGAAAGCCTTTGCATTCTTTCATCTTACTTCTTCCTCCCTTATCACCCCATCCAGCCCCTCTCCACATGTGTCTGTTTTCTCTCTACGCTCTGCTATGCGGAACTAATCAGTAGAACTTCAGTGAACCCCTTTCAGTGCTTACTGTACATTCAGAGTCATCGCCTAAATCTCATAGGTGTCTGTAGACTATGCAGAGGTCTGGAGCCTTATCTAGGACATATAATGGAAAAAGTATGATATTCAGAAATAAGACTTTGGTATATTATGTAGACAAGCATTCAAAATGGCAATGCCCTCCCCAGTTTTCCCAGACCGTTTATGTAAACTAAGTTGCAAAATACCCACATTTGCACATATTTATGAGGTCTGTTCAGTAGAGATTTTGAAAGCAGCAGTTCTCAATCTCTAGATGTATCAAGCTGGAGTTCTGAAATGAGTTCCGTAGCATTTAGTCAAGTGGAGTTCTGGAAAGAGCTCTAGAACATTTAGCTATCTAGAGTTCAAGGATGAGTTCTGGAGATCAAAGATGGGTTCCGAAATGTTTAGTCAACTGAAGCTCTAGAATGAGTTCTGGAATGTTAAGTAAAGTGGAGTTCTGGAACACTTTTGGAATGTTTAGCCATCTGGAGATCCAAGGATGAATGTTTCCTCAATGTTTAGTCAGTGGAGTGCTAGAAAGAGTTTTGTAATGCTTAATCAACAGGTGTTCAAGGATGAGTTCCTGAAACTTGTAATAACTGCATGTCTGAAATGAGTTCCAGAATGTTGAGCCATCTAGAGTTCAAAGTTGAATTCTGGAGCCTTTAGCCAGTAGAGATCTAGAAAAAGTGCTGGAATATTTAGTCAACTTGAGTTCAAGGTTGAGTTCTTGAATGTTTGGTCAGCTGGAGCTCTAGAATGATTTCTGAAATGTTTAGTAGATGTAATGTTCCGTAATGTTTTAGTAGAGTTGAGTTCTGGAAACATCTGTGCTCTCAGGTGGGCTCACTCATTGATGCCTAATGAACATCTTGTTCTTGATTTGAATTCCATCTCATGAAATGGTTCAAACCTGTTCTTGAATTGTTCCTTGTTCTGTTTTCTCAGGTTTGGCCATGGTGACCCCAATAAACGACATGTTCAGCATGGAGTCCAGTACTATGGTGAAGGGAGAGAAACAGATCCGCTGCAAACTGGCCAGCCTTTACAGACTAGTGGACCTGTTCAGTTGGGCCCACTTCACAAGCTGTTACGTTACAGTAAGGCACAGCTTTCTATCATTAATATTGCTACCACAGATTAAATATTATACTTGTTTTTTATTTTAGCACAAGGAAATGAAAGTGAGCGATGTACATTGTGTAATCCAGGGTTTTGCAATCCATTCCTGTAGGCGATAAACATTACAGTTCCACTGATCAGACACTCCTAGTTTATTACATGGAGAAAGATTTCTGCTTTTCCATTCATCATCAAATTAAATTATACACTATTTTTGAATGGCTGTTAATGGAGAAATATGCTTTTTGTCTTCATAATGTAGTTACTGCATCTGCACTCATGCTCATGAGCTTAACCAGGTGTGCTAAATAAGGAAATATACAATTTTGAATATCTGCATGCCTGTTGGAATGGATTAAGAAACCCTGCGCTAACTTGATCAGGAGAGTAAAAACAGCTGCTTATTTGTGTATTTTAAAACTTGTAGGTTCGTGTCAGTAAGGAGCAGGATCATATCCTCATCATCCCCAGAGGACTGTCCTTTGCTGAGGCCTCTGCGTCCAATCTGGTAAACAAACTGTCTGTCTTGCGTTATCACAGCAGAGTCTGATAGCGGTTCATCATGCCACAGGGCTGCCAGGGTCATTTTGAGCTGTGGTTTTAGTTGAACTCACATTCCAGTAAGACTTAAAATAGATTAGATTCAGTCTTGTGTGGTTCTTACCATCGGAATTCATTTATCAGTAACATATTGTGTTGATTAAATGATAAATAATTACTTAATGCTTCCGTTTTGATAGCTTCAGGTTATATTCTGTGCTGCTTTTGCATTTTTGTTTTTTTAGTGGTCTAGCAGCCAATTTAAATTATTAATGAGACCATAATATTGCCCAGAGCTTAATAATATGTTTTCTTTTGTGTGTTTGGGATTTTTAAGTCTGATATGTGCCGTGCACAGAGGGAATGCATTGGCAGACCTTGACTGAGCTCAGTTCTCGTTGCCAATGCTTGACTTGAGCTTAATCAGCCAGTTATTTCTTTGAAATCTCAGAGTGGGTTTTGGATCTGTACTAGCCTGTGTGTTCATGTCAGTCGGAGGCTTTTAGTGCCTGTAGTTGTTCATGGTTATTATTTTCTAATCGTATTGCGGTGGTTCTTAATCCTGGTCCTGGAAAACCCCAGCAAAAAGCCCAAAGTATACTTCAGTTTTGACATGAAAGCTTAGCCGAACACGTAGGCTTTTTAAGTATACTTCATTTGATTTGAGAATGTGCAAACACAAGTATTCAACGCACTAGAAAGTCTCATCTTTGTCCAGTGTCTGTGCTATTTCTCCTGAAGTTATGAGAAAATTTTATTTTTACTCATTTAAACTAGAATTGCGTGTATCTCTTAACCCACACAAGTGCTCATAAACGTGAATGTCTATTCTTCTAGCGTCTCCAGTAGTTTATCGTTTCGTCTCTTCTTTTTTTTAAACTGTGAAAAAGCCCTAAATATTGTCGCCACCTTGTGGACCAACTAATTTGTGCAAAAACACTCAAGGCACACCTATAATGAGCACCACTATCCTAATGACAATATTTACATCATGCACACAGTACGCACACCCTAGTTTACTCATAGAAAGGATATATTTTTTAAAGTATTAAAGGGGTATGCACAATCAGCTTGTAACACTCCAAAGAGAAAGGAAAACTTGAAATTGCATCATATGACCCCTTTAAAAAGTATGTTTTGGCATTTATCTGACAGCCAAACCACCTATCTACTAATAAGATGCTGATATAATCCAGAACCACGATTGAGAAACACTGGAGTAGAAAATGATCTGGAATGATGGCCAACCGATTTGTTTACACTTATTCAGACTGGATCTGATTCTGGAGTCAAATCAGATTCTGTTAAAGTCAAAGCTTTTAATATGTGTAAAAAGCTATCCACCTTAACACATCTGGTTTAATGAGGTTTTAACATTATAAGTCCCTTGAGTACCAAGGTTTTTTTTTATCACCATAGAACAAAAGTTCACATATCAAGATTATAGAAGCATTTGCGACTGCGTTTACGCCCTTGCTAGGAGTTCATTTCTGGCTCGGATCTGCAAACCACGAGTTAGCTGGTGACGAACAGAATTGAACCAGTTCTTGAGGTTTCATTTTTGAGCGTTTTTCTCTCCCGCTGGCGTATTAATGAGTTTTGACACACTGCTTGTAGTGGATGCTGTTTTGACAAATTCCTGCCAATCAGGTGATTTAACACTGGAACGAATTTGTGAAGCACATTTGTCCTCCTGTCTACAGCATTTATGACTCAGTTAACAGAATTGAAAGCGCCTGAGGCGAACAGTGGCAGTATCCACGTCTGGCTTGCACTCTTGTTCTGGCTAATGCTGTTTTTAATGCCGCGCTATGCTGGATTGTGTTTGGGGTTGAGTTACAACCACTGCCACAGCAATAAAATTTTTTACTGTCATGAAAAATACACTCATCATTGTGCCATTTCAGGATTATGGCAAACCAGATTTTTTTGTTCATACACTCTTGGTCATTTATAATCGATGCATATTGACCTTTTATGCATGGATCAAAGCCAGTACAGGTTTGCCAGTTTCTTTTTGTTTGCATGAACAGGGCTCTATGCTTACTTTTCTTTTTAGGAGCACTTGTGCTCCTAACTTAAAAAATTTAGGAGCACGTTCAAAATTTTAGGAGCACCTTCTAAACAGGCTTGGTGTACTTTCAGACATTTAATGAGGCTCAGAAGTGGAATGAGTGCAATTAAAAAATTAAATATAAAATTTTGAATATAGAAATATTAAATGATTTAAATTAAAAATTTTTTTATAGTCGCACGCAGTAGTTTTCAGTCGCAAATGCGACTGAAATGGTCGCACTGTAGAGCCCTGATGAACAGTGTGTTTTAGACAGTGAGAGTTAGATAAAGACCTCGTTTGCATAGGCAGAACATACAGGAACTGAGAGAGAGAGAGAGAGAGATCTCAGTGTTGCTGACACAGTCATTCAGAGCTCTTGTTCTCCTCTTCTGTGGGCGTGGCCAGCAATCTGGGTCAGAGTTTTATTAACCGTCTACATGATAAGTCACTTTTCACACTCTTTCTTCTACACTCATTAGTTCGCTAAACCCTCTTAACAAAGAACAACATGATGTTAACACTAGATTTTAGCACTTCTTGAAGGAAATATCTGCGCAAAACTCACTGCCTTGATGCAGGGGTGTTGTGGGTAGTCAAAAGAGCCATGTTTCTATAGGTGCATACCAATTTGCATAATTGCACACACTTTCAGCCATTTTGTGGAATAAATAGTGTGATTAGTATTAGTGATAATTGCAAAAAGTGCACTTTAAATGCTGGATGATGCACTTAATTAACTGAACAAACGAAGTGTGGAATGTTGTACACTTAATGTACACAGCTTTGATTACATTATCAGAATGGTGTTGGTTGGCAAAATAACCTTATATAATTAATATATATAATGTCATTTGGGACACAACCTCTGGCCTCTAGAAATCACTTGGGTCTTTCCTTCAATGTACGATCAACAAAAACCATGATTTGGGGTGTGCAAGATGGGTTATGTGCCAAAGTTTAATACTACTTAAAAGTATGGTCACAGCAAAGTTTCGCAGGCTAAAAATGTCCATTATATAATGTCAATAGTGTTTCAATGTGTGAAGCGCATCTTACACAGACGTCACCTTCAAACCAAGCAGCTTTCTGTTGTTCAACATGGTGAATCCAACCTGAACCTGTTGCGAAATATGCATGGGCGAGTTCCCAATCCCGTGGATTCCTATTGAAAGACTGGATTTTACCAACTAAACTTGCCGAAAAACAGCAAATGTGGCCACACCTTAAGAAGTGTTCAAATCCCTAACCGCGAGTATGAGCAATGTTTAGTAGTGTTTTGCTAAAGCAAGCATCACTTTAACTATTACATAATGTGGCATGAGATTTCATGTCTATGGAGCAACTGCTGTAAACCGTTCCAAATGTTCATGTAACAGGAAATGTAACTTGTAATTTTGTTTTCTTTTTATTGCCATTACGTGCACTGTTAAATGTGTTTATTTCACTCCTCAAAAATCAAGGGATGTGCTTTATTTTAAAGATGATCATATTTGTGTTTTTGCTGGACTGTTTTACAAGAAAGGTGACTGAGGACGTACAACAGAAATCAAACCACACACCGGTTAAAGCATAAGTTTAGTTTTCCTCTGGGATTTACCCTACTCTTACCATTTATTACATCATAAACTAAGACAAACTTTAAGCTCTCACTCCAAATGAGATGCAAGATTTTGCCACCGTTTCCTGACATCTCGTGAGAGAACAGCTAGGTCTTGTTTCAGTCCATAAGTGTGGTGGCATAATACAGCAGATATGTCCATACAGAAGTGGATCAACTTCCTGTGGGGATGTGCTAGTAGTCGATGTGTAACCGGTGCAGTAAGAATTGCATGAGAAAGATGGGGCGTTTGTTTTTGTGTCAAAACAGTCACATGATATTAGCGACTGTATAAATATGATCTGTATGAGGATGGATGCCATTCTGAGCTCATTAACAGCAGTGGGACAGCGTGTTTATTTTGAGCTGGCAGTGATATGGGGTGCGGCATCGACGGGTGTGTGAAAGACATGTTGGGTGGCTTGTTGCAGGGCAAGCATGTGATGCAATTTGATATTCAACCAGAGCTCTAGAGGAATCAGACATGCACAAGTACCTGTAAGGCCCGGTCAGACAGAACGCGATTTTTAATTGGTTCTATTGGCAGTGAAAGTTTTGCTCGCGGTTTATGCACCTTGGGCGCCTCGCGTTTTAGCCGCCTGCTGCGCCTCACTTTTTTGTTGGAGTGCTCTGAGCAGCCAAAAATCAACTCTGAGCAGAAAAGCACCCGACGTCATTCGCATTATTTATTTATTTTCATTGTCCAATCAAATGAATGGAGAGGCGGGACTTCCGTTGTGGTGATGGAAGTTTACACAGGGCTCCAAACTGCGACTAAAACGGTCGCATTTGCGACCAAAGATATTAAATTGCGAGTGAAGTTTCTGCTGAGGTCGCCACTGGCGACTAGGCCCATGTATTTACATGTTATAACTTAAAAATTTGCATGTAATGCACTTTTTCCTGATTGTTTTGCGATCACATCTTTTGTTATGTTCACGTATTAAACTGAGACGATGCGCATCAAAGTTAACAATTCTCGTTTATAATCATTAATAATATGGCTTCTTCTTAACAAGATCTTAGTCTATGCTGTGTTCTGTTAATGAGTGAACTTCATTATTTGAAGCGCAGGGTGCCGTCCAGTAATCGCAAAAAGCTTTGTGCTTTGTTACTTTTTAATAAACAAAGTATCAGCTTTAAAATTATTCAAAATTCATAATGAAATTCAAACAATAAATACAGTTTTGTTTTTGGCGCTCTTTAATGCAGCAGGTGCGGTCGTTTTTGCGCCTCAATTCAAGCGTCAAGTGAACCCATTTAATCTTTCTCTTTACTACTATAGTAGGCTACATAATGAACATGAATTAACATCAAAAGGTAGGCTATTTTATAATTACTAATTAAGAAAAACAGACTGAAAGTGTGAAAGACATACACTCTTAAAAATGCTTAAAAGGTTCCTCATAGAAGCATTTTTGGCTCCACAAAGAACCATTCAGTCAAAGGTTCTTTAAAGAACCATCTCTTTCTCAACTTTTTATAATCTGAAAAACTTTCACCACAAAGAACCTTTTGTGAAATGTAAAGGTTTTTCAGATGTTAAAGGTTCTTTATGAAACCATTTAGACAAAAAGGTTATTCTATGGCATCGTGAATCACCTTTATTTTTAAAGGTGTATGACAGCATTTACAGGATGCACTGAGCCCAAACTACACTCAGCGGCCAAGTGATGCTTATGGTCCATGATATTGGTACAGATTCTGTGTAATAAACAATGCGTGACTGTATATTTCAAGTTGGAAAAGACATTTAGTTCCCACTTTAAGTGAACCTTAGTTCCCAGGTCCTCTACAAGATGGATTAAAATGCTGATAAAGTCAAGAAAAGATGAGACATAAACACACGACAGTATGATTGAAATGTTAAAATGTAAAAAAAATAAATAAAATTAAGTAAAACACGTTTATTCTGTAGCACCTAAAAAATAATTTGGCGCCTAAGTTTTTTTCTTATAGGAGCCAATGGCTCCTTACTCGATTTTTTTTGTCTGGAGCCCTGTTACAGTTGCTGGGAACGTCCTGAGACTGCAGTGATGGAGGAGAAACTTGGGGTGGCTGTCACGGTTTACCTGGAGCTGTATTTTTATTTTTATTTTTTTTAAGTTGACCGTTTACTTCACAGCAAACCAAAGATTTTAGAGAGCTCGCGCCATAATCCTTGATTAGACTGACAGCTGATTTGGTGGTTGCCTAGAACATTAAAAAACCCGCAGCGCACTGCTCCTTTCTAAATTAAAAAAAGTCAACCTGAAAAACGCGTTCTGTCTGATCGGGGCCTTATTCACTCCAAAAACAACACACACAACCAATGATTGATGAATAATAATACTAATACGGATTACTACTAAAAGTTTGGAGTGTGTACGTTTTTTTATTATTTTTTTTTATTTATGAAGTCTCTCATGTTCATCAAGTCTACATTTATTATTAAAAGTACAGTAAAAACTGTAATATTTCAAAATATTTTTACAATTTAAAATAACTTTTCTGTTTGAATATATTTGAAAATGTAATTTATTCCTGTGGTGACAGCTGATTTTTAAGGATTCTTTGATAAATTGAAAGTTTAAAAGAACAGCATTTATTTGAAATAGAAATTATCTACTATCTCTGCTGTCACTTTTGATCAATTTAATGCATCCTTGCTGAATAAAATATTAATTTCTTAAAGAGCAGGTCATATGGGTTTTTTAAAAATATCTCTCTTGCAGTTTATAACGTAGCTATCCTTAAATGAAAACAATCTGCAAAGTTGTTAATCAAAAACGTGCATGATAAATAAAGATATTGTCTCTCAAAAGAGAGAGTCGATTCTGAATCGCCTTAACGAGTCGTCATATTTACGTAGCTATGCTTAAATGAAAACAATCTGCAAAGTTGTTAATCAAAAACGTGCATGATAAATAAAGATATTGTCTCTCAAAAGAGAGAGTCGATTCTGAATCGCCTTAACGAGTCGTCATATTTTCTAATCTTTTGCCTGTTACGGGTACACGTCACTGGGTAACACATTTGCATAATCCCCGCCTGCCCACGAAATACGAACAGAGTCTGACCTGCCCACAAACACTTCCGCTAGTTAGTGTGTTTACATCATGTTGAGAAGACACTGTGTTCAAGGATACCACAGAAATACAATTCGAACCTTTTGTTGTGTGCATGTCATTTTACCAAGGACTGCTTCTCTAATCTTGGCTTTTATCTTCGTTGGCTTCTAATCTTCTTTATTTGGACTAACAAGTTCTCTGAACCACAACCTGTAAGTACGATTGATACGTTATATGTACATTCTCAATTGAGTGCTCAACATATCAAGATTTTGTGCCAATGTGATGTATACCTAGTGCCAGGGCTCGACACTCCTAAAAAAAATTTCATAGTCGCACGCAGTAGTTTTCAGTCGCAAATGCGACTGAAATGGTCGCACTGTCGAGCCCTGCCTAGTGCAGCTTTAGGTTTCCAGGTAAAGCACGATATTATATATAATTTTGTCTGTCGTTCTTCAAACATTACAGTAGACATATTTTGGTTTACAAACTGTATTGTTTCATCAGTTAGTCACGTTAGCACTCGGCTAACATATCCACCATTATTGTTTTAAGTGTTCACAGTTTAGCAGCTAAACTTTAGCTGTGGGCA